CAGGAGGATTTTTACAGAATCTCCACTGAAGTCCACCACCTCCAGGATCACAATGATGTCATATCGAGATATAATCTGGGAGGCAAGGAGAGAGAGAGAGAGAGAGAGAGACCCATTCATTTTGTTGTTTGTTAAATTTCTGGTTTTGTCTTTAATCTTCGGGTTCTATTCCCGGGAAAACACAAGTTGACTCTTTGTCAGGTACAGAAGAGACAAAAAGTCAAATAATCCTTTATTTTATTTTATTTATTTTATATTCTGTACGTGACAAAAAGCCAATCTGAGCTTAAAGACAACTACCTTTTTACATGCAAAGAGCAAGGTCAACTAGTGTGGTGTGTGTGTGTGTGTTGTTACCTAACGCAAGGATAGTTTAAAGGAATCTGCGTCTGACACTTTGTTTTTCAAACTTCTGGATGTTTGAAGATGGCTATTTCATGGTGGCTGCAGAGAAAAAAAAAAGAGAAGGGAAAAATGTTGGCCTTTTAACAAGTCTGCGTCTGAACGTGCACAGGCATGTGTAGTATTACTGTGTGTACATCAAACAATGTGTTACATCTCTGTGTGTGTGTAGACAGCCGCGTCTCATAAAATCTGACAGCTTTTCAGTTCAACTCGCCTGAGGTCTGTGTAACAAGCTCCATTCACACTGTACACAAAATGTTTGTAATGGCTTAAGTAGACGCTATTAAACTACTGCTGGCACCAACAGTAGTACTGTTTGAGTCTGAAAGCACAGCAGGTGTCACATTTATTTCTTCATGTCAACTGAAGATAAGCATGATACAATGTCAAAGACAATTTGAACGAATTAGAGGTGATTTAATTGAGATTAATTGGGATAATTTCTCTCATTTATCAACACTTTCTTTCTTAATATTTGTTCAAAAAGCTAAGTTATAATTACAGAAGAACCCAGGAATAGTCCAGTGAGGGTAAAAGAAACTGAAGAAGAGTTTAATTTGAACTTGAACCACATGAAAAGAACAAAAGAACAAATGATTATGAAACACAACCCAAAAATAAAAATAAACTATTAGAAGCTTAAATTTAAATTCACTTAAAAAAAAACATTGTTAAATGAGTGAGCTGCTTTCTGAATTCTCCCTAAACTAACTCAGTGATCAGTGTTTCAACAGAAAACAACTGAAGAAAACATTCAGGAGGACGTGTTGGGACAGGTTCTGTGTTTTTAAGACGGCCACTCCCAAATCCCCCCATCACTAATCTGACAGCAGCCATCTGCTTTACATCAACACAGCACCCTAAAGACTCCCACCCCATAATCCACCTCTCAGCTTTACCTCTGTATATATTTATATATGTTATATAACTAACAACCAGTTTGTGAATGTTCAGGACTGTATGGCTGTAAGTAACAAAGATCAACACAACATTTATGCTTTTGATTCAGTATTGTTTACACCCGGCTACTTTTACTTGAGTAATTAAGTTTATGTATTCCATAAACATACTTTTGAATATTATATTACATTTCTGTCAATATTTCCTCCTAAATGTCACACACTGGACCTTTAAAGCTTTAACTCTCACCTGTTTACTAGTAGAATGGAAATCAACAGTGTATTAGAAATATAACCTTTTCTCATAGTCTGTCTCATAATTTAGTTTTCGTTCAAATTAATGATAAAAACATTCTTACTTTATTCTAATCCTCAAATAAACTTTATAATAAAAAATATTCATACTTTGGCGACATCATACTGACGACATCAGTTCCCTCCAACCTCTGGCGTCTCTCCACTGGCTCCCTGTTTGTTTTAGAATTGATTTTAAGATTTTACTTTTAAAGCACGTCTGAGCCCGGCCCCAAACTACATAGCAGAAATGTTGATCCCCTTATGAGCCAGTTCACAGCCTCAGGTCCTCAGCTGGGGCCCCTTCTCGCTGTAGGCTTATCAGAACCCCTCGGCTCTGGAACGACTTGCCAGAACCAGTGAATTCTTTTCAATCACTTCCTAAAGCCTATTATTATAGTTTTATTTTATTTTTACAGCTTCTATTCTGCTCTTTTTTTGGTATTTATATAGTTTTATATATATTTTAACATTTAATTCCATTTTGTTTTGTAATAAATAATAATAATAATAATAAAATAATCACTTTCACCGCCCTTATCTTTCATCATCATTGTCTTCCCTCTACTATATTTTATCATTTTGTTCATTATTTCTTCCTCTGCCTCAAAATGCGCATATAAATAAAGGTATTATTAGATTAGATTAGATTATTCTACTTTATTGTCATTGCACAAGTACAGGTACAATGCAAAGAAATGCAGTTAGCATCTAACCAGAAGTGCAAAGCAGTAAAGTGCAGAGTAAAGTGCATATGTACAAAAATATGTAAAAAAAGTTTTAAAAAAAAATAGATTAGAATTATTATTATTTTTATATAATAACCTCATCCTTAGTATCTCAGTAGTGGCCTTTAATCAATAACAATATTAAGAGCTCACTTTTCCTTTTAATAAACTCATATATATATATATATATATATGTATTTGGTAATTTAAGGCATTGTTGAAACACAACTGACAGAAATTGTTTGCTTCCAGCCTCTTTAATAGGAGTATTTACCAGTTTTCTTTCAATTGATTTGAAACCAGTTGATGAGAATTTTTAAAACATTTTATAGAATTGACTGATGGAGAAAATATTTTGTATGGATAATACAGATAATGAAATATTGACTGTAGTTGTTATTTGCAGCCCTGCATCTATGTGTATGTTGTTGCGTGTTACGTGCTCGCCCTCTTGTCACTCCTTTTCACGCCTGTTGTGGTTCGACAGGTACTTAAACAACAAATTCCCTTAGTAACAGGATGTTTGCATTTGTGTTGTAAAGGTTGTCCAACTAGTTTGTATTTTTCTTTCTGCTCAGTCAGGTGATCAGTATACTGCAGCTCATAACAGCCACATAGTGCCAACACACACAAAGCAGACGCTTCCTCGATACTAACACATAATGACGTTGTTGTAAACA